TGGTTTTCAGAGATGGCAATGGTTAAGAGGTTGATGAATTTTGTGAACCAATAGTTGACATGCGGCACAACTTGGAGGAGGAGTTTTTCCATCCTGAAAGCGTTGTGGAGGTGATTACACTGGCACATAAGTATGCAATGCAAGATGAGCACTTGGGATTTTTCACCGTTCAACTGCAAGTCTTGATGCTGCTCAGGCAGATGTGCACAGTAATGGTGGCTACTCTGCAAGCCTTGCTCCGACGCTGTGCCAGATGAGGCTCCTGCCAACATGGATGATGCAGAACCTTTAGAGGAGGATCGTGTTGTGCCATTTTCAGAGGATTCAGAAACAGTGATGGTCGATGGCATTTTGATGTCAACAAACTGCACGTTGAAAGTTTTGAGGGCAGGTTGAAGTTCACTTGGACTTTCTGGCAGAGGTGGCAAGAGCAAATGCTTGAAGCGCATGGTCGAGCATGTCAGGGCCCAAACGTTGCTTGCAGCACATGGAGCAGAAATCAAAATGCGCAATGAATTTGAACGTGCCCCAGTTGCGCAGTCAAAGCCAGAAGAGCCTTCACAGCAGGAGGTGGAAAATCATGGGTTCACTCACGAGCCGTTCAGAGCTTGGTGTCCACTTTGCGTGCAATACCGTGCAAAACAAGACCCACATAGACCAAGCACCCATGAATCTTCAGGGCATTCAGTGCCGTCAATGGATTTTGGTTTTTGCAGTCGAGAAGAAGATGAGGCAGACAAGCTTACGTGTCTTTTTGTGCATGACAGGGCAACAAAGATGATGGCAGGTATCCCAACTCCTCAGAAAGGTGGCAAGTACCTCCAATACCTCACTACAGAGGTTGTGCGCTTTGTGGTGTTGACCAAGCACCGTGAAATAGCCATCAAAACTGACAGGGAGCCTTCCATTTTAGCCTTGTCAGAGTCAGTTCAAAAGGCATGCAGAACTCTTGGCATTGTTGTGCATGATGAAGCAGTGCCCGTGTCTGATCATCAAGCAAATGATGCAGCAGAGGTTACAGTTCAAATCTTGCGTGCAAAGGCTGGACTCTTGGTGCAACAGATTGAAGATCGAGTGGCTGCCGGCAAGGTCATCTTTGGATGTCTGCACCCAATCTTTGCATGGGCCATCATCCATGCAGCATGGCTTCACAACCGTTTTGTTGTGAGTGGTGGACAAACTGCATATGAAAGAGCAAACGACAGATGCTACAGTGGAAAGGTAGCGATGTATGGTGAGGACATCCTTGGTTACTTGAGGCTCGACAAAGCAGGCCCACGTTGGCAACATGGAATCTGGTTAGGAAAGGTGGCCTCAGGAGACATGCACATTGTGGGTACAAGCCAAGGGATTTTTCTCACCAGAAGCATACGCAGAAACCCTGTTCCCTTCAACCTCAACCGCTTTGCAGACATCGAGCACTATCCCTGGGAATTTGTTTTGGCAGCTTTGGGGAGCCGGTTGATTCACAACAAAAGAGTCAGCCAACCAGTTGCGTTTGGTGTTGGTGCTGCGCTTCCACCACAGCTTGATTTGGAAGCCATCAATGTGGCCAAATATGCACTTGAGCATCCAGATGAGGATGTTGAACATGAAGCTGAGGCGGGGCAACCAGCAGAAGAGCCCCTTGGAGAAGCTGCACCAACAACGCCTATGATGGATGTTTCTGGCACCCCTGTTGAGCATGGCCAGAAAAGAACTGAAGAGGACCCTGGTACAGAGTCTCCAAAGCGTGCCAGGTTTGCTGATGCAGGTTTCAAAGCACTGGAAGAAGCGTTTTTGCTTGACGATACAGCAGTTGGTGAACAGGCACCCAAAACGCCTCTCTGGTGATGATGATGACAAAAAGCGTTTGCAACAGGTGACCAGCACAGATCTCAGTTTGTATGAGCACGAGGATCAGCCGGTGAAATTTTCTTTTCATGCAGATGAAATGGATTAGTTGGAAGAGTATGATTTGAATTTTCATCAAGATGATTTCTATGACACTGACGAAGTTCTGGATGACGACATGTCCAAGCAACTCATTTTTCCTTACAGCAAGTTTGAACCAGAGGTTGCTGAAGACGAGTTGAGACGTTTGGATGCAATTGCAGACAGTGTCGAAATCAAGCGGCTGACAGGCATGCAGGTGCTCACTAATGCAGCAGATATGCCCCATGGTGCAAGAGATTTGTCAACGCGTTTTGTGAGAACGTGGCGTGAGAAGCTTGACAAGGATGGGCAGCAGATATGGCTCAGAAGGTCACGTTTTGTTGCACGTGAGTTTGCATGGATGGAAAGTGAAAGAGATTGCCTTTTCTCCCCAGCAAGTAGCTCAATAGTGGCCAGGTTGCTTCCAGTGATGTTTTTGGAAACGCAACAGCACTGTGACGCTGTCATGCTTGGAATAGATGTCAAGGACGCCTTTCTGACTGTGAAGCAACAATGTCCTACAGTGGTTCAGTGTCAAATGGCCAATGGTGAACGCGCTGACTATGGACTGGGAAAGGTGTTACCAGGGCAACGTGACGGAAGCCGTTTGTGGCATCAGGACATCACCAAGGTCATGAAGGAAGAACTTGGCATGTCAGTGCATGAGCCATATCCTTGCATCCTGAAGTCACAGGATGGATGCTGTTTTGCGTTGATCCATGTGGATGACATTCTGGTGATTGGCAAACGTGACTTTGTGATGAACAAATTTCTGAGTTGCCTTCAAAACAAATATGAGGTTTCAACGCAGCTGATGGAAAAGCCTGGAGATGAAGTGAGCTTTCTAAAAAGGAAAATGGTGTTACAGCCCGATTCAAGGATTACAATCCAAACGCACCACAAGCACGTTGACCAGATGTGCAGTCTTTTGGGTTTGAACAAGCGCTTACAGAACAAGCGCACTCCAGGTCATGCAGAAATGGATCAGCTGGACACGTCAGGTGAAGTCAGCCCAGACCAAGCTCGAGTTTTCCGTACGTGCGTTGGAATCCTTTTGTATTTGGCCTCAGATTTGCCTCACTGCCAACACGTTGTACGTCATCTTTCAACGTACAGCACTCAGCCTACAACTTGCAGTATGACCATCTTGCGCCACCTGGTATCATACCTTGCTTGCCTTGAAGATATTTGTGTCTCCTTGCGTTGGCGCGGCAGAAACAGTGGGTTGTTCCATCAATATGGTTCCGCTGCAGAGTATGCCATGGAAATTTTCACTGACAGCGATTGGGCAAGCAACAAAGAAACCAGGTGTTCAATCTCATGCTCAACATATCTTCTTGGGAAACTGTTTGCTGTACTCCTCAAGCCGTACACAGAAACTGGTTTCTCTCAGCAGTGCAGAAGCTGAAGTTTATGCATGCAGTTCAGGCGCTTCAGATGGATTGCTACTGGCAGGTATCATCTCTTGGATGACAAACAGCAGGGTCAAAATCTACCTGCTGACAGACAGCTCTGGAGCCCGTGGCATACTTCAAAGACAGGGAGTAGGGCGCGTTAGACATGTGTCTTGCAGAGTCTTATGGTTGCAGGAGTACATCAACTCAGGTCAGATCAAACTGTCTACAGTGGCAGGCTCTTGCAACCCAGCTGACATTGGGACGAAACGTCTCCCTTGTGCCCGTCTTCGAAGCCTCATGTGTTTGCTTGGTATGTATAACCTTACAACAGCCGAGGTTGAAGGTGCCAACGACCCTGGCGGCATCATGACTAAGAAGGCCAACATGTTGGCCATGCTGAGCGCCTTGAGCTTGTTTCAAAAGGGTTGTGATGGAGAATTTGATCCAGATGCTCAACCTTCATGGGCTATGGTGTTTTTCACAGCCATTTGTGGTTTGGCAATTTTGCTGGTTTGGTGGTTCTGCAGTGGCAACCGCCACAACAATGACAACCAGTTTGAGCCCGATGCCGAGCCAGATGCCATGTTGGCACACAACCCACAAGTTCATGATGAGGACGTTGAAATGAGTGTGGCTGCTGAAGCTGAACCCCAAGAACTTCAGAGGCGAGAACCAAATGCAGAAGACTATGTTGCATGGCTGATCGAGCGTTGCGAAAGGAGAAGGTTGTCAGCAGACAATGGTGCTCGCAGGATTCTTTACATTTACAACGAAAGAATCACCATTCTTCATGGACTTCAAAGTGCAATGAGATCTGATGATGCACGATGGAGAAGGGCAGCGCTTCAGAGTTTGGCCACTATGCCAGACATTAGCGATGATGAAAATTCACCAAACTTTGCAAGCATCAATGCTCCAGTGGTCAACTTTGGCGATGCTCAGCGTGCAATGAATTTCATTGCATCTCTTCAAGCTGGCCAACCTAGCAGCAGTGCAAGTGGATTCAGTACGAACGTGGACATGGTAGCAAACTCCTTGATCCGCAACTTGGACTACGATGCTGCCGGTTTGCCTTCAGATGTGAGTTCAATCGAAGAAACAGGATCAGAAGTGCGTGCAAGGTATCGTCAAAGCACTCAGTCAGAGGTCAGTGACCCAGACCTTTGGCTGCTTTTACAACATGAGGAGGACAATGAGTCCGAGACTTTGGAGCATGACGAAGAAACATAGAGATTTCCAAGAAATTCCAACTGCAATGGAGTTCATTGGCAGCCATGAGCGCTGCAATCGAGCTGATGCTTTGCGCCTTAGCCGGAGGGTAATGTGAGTCTCCGTTGGCGCTGGGAATTTACCTAGAGGAAATTAGAGTGTTTCATAGGTTGTGCTGAGCTGAAACTCCAAAGGAGTGTTGCAAGTAGTGGCATCCCAAAGGATAGGACCCCAGCGGCACTTAGCTCAGTACAAAACTTTTCCAATTTGGTTTTGTGACGTCGGCACTTCAACTGAAGTTTGTGCCGAGGCGGGGTGAAACAAATTTACTCTGTTTGTATTCCAGTTCCAATAGCGTATATTCAGTTGTCACATACATGTCAGTCCATTGTGCAACAGGCACATGTGATTCAGTGATCGTTGAGGCGCTTTTGACTCAAGGAAAAGTTTCAGAATGTTAATGTTGATTGCGCATCACAGATGGTCTTGGAGACAGATGTGGTCACCACTACAGGACCCAAACTGGTCGAGTCTTGGAACAATTTCGAAACTATGAAATCATTTTACTATGTGTTAGTCGGAAAAAATGTCGTGCACAGATGCCAGTAAATTGTTTCATGTTTTCAATTTGCACACGAACAAAAATTGCAAACATGCGACATTAAATTGCGGAAACTCGAATTTCTCATGTTTTGTGTTTGGGCAATTCTAGTCGTCAAAACAATGAAAAAAATAAAAATGGTCATAATATGCAATAATATTGTTTAATTTGGATAATTGCATTTTTCTGTATTGTCATCATTCAACACCCATCACCAAGGAACTGCGGCGACAACCAGTGAAGACCTTGGGTTTTGGAGAGGCTTTGGTGGCCGTGAAAGCTGTGGGGGTTTGCGCCACGGCAACTTGGTGGCAATTTTGCCATTTACTAATCCATCTACCAGTATATACTTACCAGTATCATGATCATTTGATGATATTCCCTGATGTTAGATGTTCAATTTCAAATTCAGAGGAATCCGTGATATTTTTTCCATGCCGGATTCTTGGCCGTGAGGATGTGGAACTCTTTGATGGAACCATGGGTTACTACCACAGCGGACTTTCCACCGTCCCATTGGTGCCAGGTCACGAATGGGCCGGTGCTTTGGCCGAACGAAAAAAAATATTGGAGTCCTTTGAACATGTTTATCTTTAATTATTTTAGATATCTTTAGGTTTTTGTCGGATAAGGTGTAGGTTCTGCAACATGCGTTTTCATGCCATTGCAACAAATCATTGTTTCCTGGTCTTTTCAATATACAAGGTTTGCAAGCGATCCATGCCAGAAGATGCTGAATGCCCAAAGTTTTGAGGGACTTAGAGGATGGAACAATCGTTTGGCCAGGCCTGAATAAACACATATGTTACCCGTTACCATCCGTTACCATCCGTTACCATCCGTTACCATCCGTTACCATCCTTTATCTGATAGTTATCCGATAGATATCCATTTCCATTCGTGATATGTTCAGATCCCTCCGTCGCTAGCATTTAGGTGAGATCCTGAAGTTGGGCCCCGCGGCGCCATCGCATTTGCATGTGGGCCAGCGTGTAATTGGAGAACATTGCACAGGAGTTGAATGGAGTGGATGGTCAGTGAAAGTGTTGAGTTAAAGAGACAGACAATACAGACACATGTCTTCCAATCCATGTTCCAAATATTCCTATTTTTGTTGCGATGATATTCAATGTTTCTCTCAACTTGAAGGGATTTTGGTGTATTCCGATTATGTAAATTTGCAAGGACAGCATTGCAATTTCTTGTCGGTGGTGGCTCTTTCAAGTTGCACCATGCTGTCATTCAAGTTTGGAGATTACTCTTTCAGGATGCTATCCTCAGACTTCAGCTGAAACTCAGACCACCAGGCGGTTTGGCTGGATTTGGATTACTATACCACATGTACAACACGCAATCACAGAAGGGGGACCTAGCCATACCTAGCCCCCATTCAGCCGAAGGTAAAATTTGTGCCCTGATGTTGAACAACGTGTAGGTTCCTTTGTGCTGGAACCAGGAATACACAACATATGAAGCCGACCTAAGGCATGTTGGAGCATGTAGGTGCAGAGGAATGGTGGAGTGCAAGAAGATGCAAGAAACGATACGGTCAACGGCAAAACGCACCCAGGTGCAAGATTTGTTGCCAGCCTGGTGGTTTGCTACGTTGTCCTCAACGAAAGGACCGGCGGCTGCAACGTTTGAAATGCCAACGGCAGAGAGATTGGCTTCAGATCTTGTGCAATTTGGTCATCCTGTAGCAGCCGTAGCTAGCGGCCGAAGGAGACGGGCTTCTTTGGCCGAGAAGGTGCTTTCCAAACAGTCCCTGGGCTTGGCACACTGTGTTTGCTTCGGTCATTCGCAGTGCCTCGTTTGACTTGGGGGGTACCGAGGTGATGCGTTTCCCCGCCTGGCAACTGCATGTGCTGCCACCTGGCACCCCATGGGAACTAGCTGTACTTGCAGAGCCTTTGGCAACTGCCTGCAAAGCAGTGCGCCTTGTGGCATGGCCGAAGTGCTTGTGATTTTTCTATGTCTGTGGGTCATATGTATGACCTCAAGATGAGCTGTATTTGATCCTCATTGACATTGTCGAAAATAATTCGTTTGCTTTTGCTACTATAAGCTATAGGCTATAGGTATGAGACATTTTACTCTACTCATGGTGCATTTTATGGCATCATTGGCTTGCGTGGAAATTCCTCATGATGTTAATCTACAGAAGGGAACACACACTCTCAGATAAACCATTACACATATTATACCATTGTGTAGGCTATCCATTTTTTCGATTTTGATCTATCTACCTCTGCAAGTCATGTTCTCCCCATGGCTCACAAGGCCAACCTCAACAAAAACCCGGAGCCAAAGAACGGCATCCAGCCCTGGGTGGTCGTTGTGGGCGATGGCGCTGTAGGCTCTCAGCAGCTCAGATCCTGGGAAAGTTATCAATGCAAACAGGTGTGTGACACAGGCTCATCCAAAGATGAACCCAGCAAAAGTCGACTCTTCACCGTGGAAATAAGTAGTTTATCTATATATATATAGTTGTTTGTTTGAGGCTTTGAGGAATTAGATGTCACATGGCCGAATCGTGTCTGTGTCCCCCTTCCTGGTGTGCCTTTGCCAAAGTGCTTGGTGTTGCGCAGGTTTGTTGCTGCTGCAAGTGCTCCGAGTGCGCGAAAGAGTGCCTCGGGTGTGCTTGGTGGGTGCGCAGCCCACCAGGTTGAAGCAAGCCGAAGCACTTGGAGCAGAGCTGGCGGGGAGGGATGGATTTCGCTACGGGGGCTGGAAGTGCTTCCTCCGGCAGTTCATGATGCCGTGCCCAGCTACTGCCATGTCAGATTCCGCTTGAATGCTTTGGGGCCCCAAACTGTTTCAATCTTGTCCCAAAGAAATGTAAAGAACCTGCGGCCCAAGATGATACGAATCGGCCATCCGTGGCCATCCGTGGCCATCCGTGGCCATCCATAGCCACCTCGGCAGGCCTGGAACGTCCGTGAGTCGCCCTCGGATCTCCATGCAGCGCTGGCAGATGCTCCGCCGTCGCTGGTGCTGGAGGCAGCAGGCACCCCCGAGGCGGTGAAGCTGGCGGTGTCGCTGGTGGCGCCAGGGGGCACTGTGATCCTGCTGGGGTCACGTGGATGCCGAAGCTGAATTCCTTTTGGCTGAGAGCCATAAACCCTGTTGGTTCAGGGTTTTTTCAACCCCACTGGCGTAGCAAAAAAATGTCTTGTAGATTTTTAGTGGCTTCAAACTGCAGAATGGACAGCTGGTCTTTAGGAACTGCTCAGTCAGGAATCACAGGGAGAAGATCGATTGGGTCAGGTGTATTTGGAAGGGCACCACATGTGTATTTTGTATCCCTGTATTCCGGCACAAACATTCTGAGGCTGTCCGGCAACAAACTCGCGGAACTCTGCACCGATGACGTGCCTGGGGCTGATCCTAGCAACTGCAACCCCTCTGCAATCCTTCCACCCACATGATATACAGCCCCCAACACCATTGTGTATTGGATTTGATTGTTTGGGGGGTATTGACATTGAATAGTTTCGTAACCCGTAAAAAGATAGAACGCTCATGATTTTAATTTATGATTATTTTTAGCCGGAAGGATTTGCATTCTTTCAAAAATACACATGATACATATGTTTTTCTAGCAGGATTTTACTTTTCTATCTTTTGGGGGTTGCAATATGAGGAAAGTATTGTAATGACATGGATAGGTGGATGATGGAAATCCCTATCAACTGAATCAACTATCAACCAAGGTTGTCCTCCGGCAGCTGACGTTGAGGGGTTCATTGTCGTCAGAGCCGGAAGATTGGCAGCTTGGGCGTTGACAAGAACAGGGTTTTCTGTTGAGTTGAGATTGGGAATCCAACATTTAGAGACCTCCAAAACCTACTATATAATGAAACATTTCTTTCAAAGGAATCTATGATCGATTTCTGTGGGAGACTCATAGCCCAGGCAGGCGGTCCAGGAAATCTTGGCGGCTGGGAAGTTGAGCAGTGTCAGGGAACCCAAGCTGGCTGCAAGTTGTAGATGGTTTGTGACTGGTGTCATATTTGTATTACTAGTAGGAACATTCTTTTCACAGGCAAATGTTTTTATGGGGCAGGGGTTCGCTTCGGGCGTAAATTTTGGCTCGCTTCGTGCGTAAATTTGGGTTCGCTTCGGGCGTAAATTTGGGTTCGCTTCGGGCGTAAAGTGGATACATCTCCGCCGTGTAGGGCTCAGGGCTCAACGGTGCTGTCTCTGGATGCGGGCTTGCCTAGGAGTCTCGATGTGGATATTTTTGGGGGTATTGGCATGGACGGGTTGCATCCCATGTTTGCTACGGGGAATAAACCCAAAAGCCAGGAACCCATAATGCAGCTGTGCAGGGCGTGTCTCGTTCACTTCACGGTGTGATTCCCTAACTTTTCACGGCGCATCTAAAAGCAACTGTGCTGGGCGTGTCTCGTTGAGTTCATGGTCTGATTTTTTGACCTAATACGGCGCATCTAAATGTAACTGTGCTGGGCGTGTTTCGTACTTAATACGGCGCATCTAACTCTGCTACCGGGTGCCTAGGGGGTGGGGTCGCGCGGACACGGACGATGTTGTGCGGATGGGGTATGACAGAATGCGATAGTATATGTCAGTTAGAATGCCAATTGGGATGTCAGATAGAATGCCACAGAGAAGATCGCAATGTATGTCAGATAGGTTGTCCAAGTTGGGGATTACTCGAAGACAACAGTTTGGTTTGTTAACTTCTTATCGCGCATCTAGATGCAACACTGTGCTGGGCGTGTCCCGTGCGCTTCATGGTATGATTCGTTAACTTCTTACGCCGTGCCATAATGCGACACAGTGTATACATGACCATCTTGGGCAGCATGTAACAGATCGCCGCGGCGTTGTCCGGAAAAGTTTGGCAACTTCCTTCAGTGCTGCGGGCTGAGGGGTCCAATTCCTAAGGAGATCCAAAATAGATCAAAATAGCTAGTGGAAAGAATCATTTCCCTGACGGGGTTTCTCTTGATATGGTTGGATTTGAAGTGCACGAAGGATGGGGCAGAATTTGCTGTGAAATGTAGTGAAAACGAATCTGTTCGTCCTTCCAGAGGAACCTTCAATGTCTAGTTGAGCAAAAGGATGTCCAAGGCAAGAGACGTGGAAGAGCCCTTAAGAGTGGAATGAGTCGTCAACCTTTGAAAGTAAACTGAAATGATGATGTAAGTAGAATGTTTCCTTCCCAAATAAACCTTAACTGGCAAGTTCTGAGCCCCCTCCTCCCCCTAAATAAACCCTAAATGGCTGCTGTGAGCATGAGGATGGCCAAGGCAAGAGAGAAGTAAGAACCCTTTGAGTGGGCTGAGTCGTTTGTTCTTACTTTCGAAACAAAGCAAGAATGATGATGCAAGTAGAAGTTCCCACCAAAAAAAACCCTAAATTGCTGTTTCTGTAAATGGCTGGTATTCTCCTCCCTCCCCCCCAAATAAACCCTATTACAGAAACCCCAAAGAAAAAGAAACCCTAAAGAAAACCTAAAGAAACTCTCAAGAAACCCTAAAGAACCCCCAAATTAACCATTAAAAACCCTAAAGAAACCCTAAAAGATCCACAAAAAACACCGTTTATGCCAAAGTGAACCCCTTGCCCATATTTATGTACATGTACATATACATGTATGTATGAGCCGGGACCGGAATTTCCCCCCCCACATCCAATTAGCCCACGTTGACTGTAAGATCAGCCAAATATGGGCCCAAGTTGGGTCCAACATGGCGCAACCGCGGATTTGGGCAGGGAGAGTGCAGCTCAATCGGTGGATACGGATAGATGTATGCATTTGCTTGTAGAACCAGGCAAGTATAGGTGTGAATCTAGAATCACCACAAACATGTTAGATATAACCACGGTCCTGTCAAGTCTTGTCAGCCTAGGTCGTGACCCACGCCTTCGAAGGCTTGGAGAAGTACCAGGAGGCCATCGAGAATGTGCGTCAGCCACCTGTTCCTCAGCCACAGGATGGTGTGATGGTGTGATGGTGCTGATGGTGGCTGATGGTGGCTGAAGGTGGCTAGTAGAATGGAAATTGGTTTTCTATGGTGGTTGTGTGCTTCAATGGCCAACCTCACTCCTTCAACCTAGTCGTTTTCTTCAATGTTTGTGAATTTCACCAGGGAACCAGGGTTTCAAGCTACAAGCAGGTGTCAACCCATGTTCGGGGAGTCATGTTGTGATGTTGTGAGTCCTTCTGGAGGGTGAAACGAACCATGGAAAGGAACAACTTCAGGTTTGGTGCAGATCTTTTGCTACCGGCACTTGAGGATGGGATGATCAAGGTCATCGTGACACCCAAAGAGATCCGACACCGCAAAAGACAGCGGGAGGAGCCAACAAAGTAATGCGGAGCGGCTCCACATTTGGAAGTGAACAGTTGTGTTGATTGCTGGGTTTCAAAAGTCCATGGACTTCGGCCTAGTTCCTAATGAACTAGGCATGGTTGTTGTTGCACAGCCTGATGAAACAAAATCTTAGTGGGTTGTGCAAATATATGGCCGGCAAATATGAAAGCGTGGTGGAGTGGTTGCTTTCCTGTCGACCGCTTAGCGCACCCGAAGCAAGTCAACTGAAAGCATCCGCCTCTGCAGTTTTTGGCTCTAATTTGTTACGTGCGCCACTCCTGCACTGCCTGGGATCCTGGGTTGGGCCTGGACCCACATCAGGGGTGTAAGCCTGTGCATGTTTCCGCCTCCTTGGTGTCCTCGGATGTGCAAAAAGTCATCAGGTTGTAATCAATCGCAAATTGCAAATTTTACAACGGAAAAGACAAAGCTGCAGGTTGATTAACAAGAAATGACCCTGCTTGCATAGATTAACAACGTACTTGCTGCCTTGCTCTATAGACTCTATTGCCATTCCCCCAACTCCGAAGTTTCGTGACTCGTAAGACTCGTAACTGGTGACTAAGGAAACTTGCGAGATGTTCCGCATCTTCATCACAGCTTTGCTGCTCTTTGTGGCCCAGTCCGACTCTTCCCAGGATTTGAGGGGCCTGATGCTGTGAGCTTGCCATGCAGTCTAGTGTGTTTCTGCCACACTCTTATTCTCATGGCTTTGGCATTTTGAAGAACCAGGATTATGAATGGTGAAAATATTGATGATGTCCCAAAAACATCCAGAAAACCAGGTGTGCTGGGAGAGGTGAACATTTGATGATCTGTCTGCATGCAGGAGTTTTTGCCTGCTGTTCGGGTGTCCCAGACATCTCAAGCAAAATTATGTTTTGACCAGAGGTTGAGCTGTGCTTGCATTGCTTGGATTTCCAGTGTGTGCACGTGATCATTGCCTTTCATATCCTTTCATATCTTTCATGCACTGGATGGATTTGTCTTTGAACTTGTAACACGTCCTTGCAGATCCCCAGGTGAATACTTTGCAGACAACAATATTTCCATGTCTGTGTGGGAATATTTGAGGCCCCAAAAGTGGAAAGTGATGCGACGGGCAAGCCGGAGGCTGGATGACCAAGCGCCGAGTTGTTTATGAAGCGACAATCTTGTCGGTTCGAAATCGAAGGATCTCTTCATGATGATAATGGAAAGTGTATGAAAGTGTAAAGTAACTTTCAGTCATCAGTCATTTCCAAAGAATGACGACTCATTCTGAAGACTCTTCTTTGAGCTATAGGTCGGCAGCGAGGGCGGCGTGACGGTAGCGGAGACCAAGGTGAGTCCCCCGTGTCCGCTTTTGTTTGCGTTCTTTGCGTTTACTGTCAACTCTTAAGGCTTGTTGACTAAGACGACTGAGGTGGTGATTCAGCTTTGTCTGATTGGGTACCCCAAATCCAGCGGTTACTCGCCCATTTGGCCTTGGTCAAAATCCTCCTGTAAGGAGATCGAGTTTGATGCTGCCTCCAACCCATACATCGCCACCAGCACCACTGCAGAGTGTTTGGCCCTGATCTTCATGATTGTGGTGGGTGACCCCAGCACGGTCCGACAGTCCAATAGTGCTTTATTGAGGGCTGATTAAATCACCAACCATGGAGCCATCGGTGTCACCGGTGTCACCTTTTACGGCTCCATCCGATGACCGTGACAACCTGGGTTCCTATCAACCCAGTCACACCACTGAGGCCTGTGTCATTTGCTACTTAGAGTGCTGCAAGTTGCTTGGCCATGGCATGAAAATGGTCAGTGTGAGGACCCAATCCTTATGTAAGATAGTCTTCAGGCTCTGATTTGTAACATCAAAACTATGTCACATCTTGCAAGGTCAAGTTTTTGTTTTGGGCACTTTGGTTTACCACTCTAGTACTTTGGTTTGAAGATTAGGATGTTGCATTTCCCTGAAGGTGGATACATCGAGATACTCCTTCGCTTAAGGTACCTTTGTCACCCTTTTGCCATGATTCCCATCTCCAAAGCGGGTGCGAAATGGTGCGAATGTGTATGATGATACGGTATGACGGTATGACAGTCTTCTCAGCGGTGGCATTGATCTGTATTGATGCATTTGAATGGTGATCTTGGGGCTAGTTGACCCCCATGAATTTGGGCCAAGGTGAGCGTTGACCTAGATGAGCAGTGCTACTTTGCACAGCTGTGTAGGTAGCTTTGCTGAAGGCATGGAGAAAAGCGTTTCTCCTGGCTCTGGCAGCTGGAGATTTTCTCAAAATTGTGGGATCTCCATCGTTTTGAGGCGCCCTCAACAGGCCAAGAAATTTCTTAAGATTCTTAAGGTCTGCTTTTGGCAGTAACTGTGTGCGAGCTGGCGTGGAAGTGTAGGTAACATCTTGGTCACTCAGGTTTTATAGTCACAAGATCTTGTGCAGATTCACCTACTTGGAGCAGTTCAACATGACTGCTTGGATCCAGCTGTTTCCTTCAATCCCAGCTGCGCACACCTTAGCAGCCCCTAGCTTAGTGGCGAAAGGTGCAAAGAGAAGATAGCAGTTGAGGTGAGCAACCATGAGCAATCTGTCCCAAGACAGGGCTGTTCTTAAACTAACAACCGGAATGTGAGGTGTGTCAACGGTGTCATGGTCCATAACACTTCTAAAGAAATGCTTGCCAATGCCACTGCAGCTGCGTGTTCCTTCGTTACTCGTTGTGAGAAGATTCCCATCAACAGAGCGTCTTTCAGAAAGGGGAAGAGACGTTATATAGCCTGCCTGGCCCGTCATCGGTGAGAGTGGCTCCATTGCATTTGTAAGAGTCAAGATGTCACAGATGCATTGAACTTGTACAACTCACCTCACTCTGCAAATAGCTCGATCTCTCGGTTCCCAAGTGAAACATGGGCAGGGCACATAGCGCAATTGGTGGCCACTGGTGGTCGCTGCTGCTTCTGTGCCCTGCAGTGTTGAAGATTGGTCTCCAAATGAGCTGATTTCGTGACAAAAAGTGAGTCCCAAAATGCGGATAACCCAGTGGCACCTTGATGAGTTCATTGGGTGTGATTGGCTTGGAGTAGGATCCCAGGATCTCAGGAATGATTTTTGAGGTTTGCCTCCAAATGGTGAATATACTAAAATGCAACAAATCACGGAGAAAAAATATGACAAAATGTGAAAATGCATATTCAATCTTCTTACTCACAAACCATGGGACTTTGGGGAGCCAATTGTTTCGGCAACCTCCTAATCAAGCCTATGGCCACAGCAAAAGTTTGCACGCCGACCGTTGTGGATGGCTCATCTTCAGCAACGCGTCGTTTTAAACGCCACTAGTGGCTGAAACAACAGTCGCGCTCCATGCTAAAGCCTATGCAATCTGATATGTTCATTTCTTTGAGTTCTGCCAGCACTGGCACTATTTCAAAGCTACCAGGAAAGGCTGCTGACGCTGAGCCCAATCATTCTCTTGCCGCCTAACTAATCACTTGTGCGAATTCAGCAAATATCTGAATTCACATGTGGAAACCGAGCTGGAACCATTGTTCTCAGCAAGGTCCCTCTTTTACATTTTCTTTACCCGTTCAGCAAAACACGCTCCCTTAGTTTTTTTCGAAGCCAGCCCTGTCGTGTGCTGCCTATGGACCACTTGCTGCTGCGAGAGGGATGGACGATGAATGTCTATGCTGCTGTCGACGGTGGCCACATTTGCTGCATGACTGCGCTCCCCACAGTTTCTTGACACAGTTTGGTCAGTCATGGGGACGCTCAATTGATAAAATTTGGTATCGGTATGGTATGGTTTGTAGGAGCTACTGAGCTACCGCATTTCCACTAGCCTCAGTTCCCAGCCAGTTCCAAAATACTCGCAGGGGGTAGGGACTGATTTCCGAGCCTCTGCCAAACTGTACCTGGCCAGACAAAGTGGAGGTAGAATGCTCTGGAGGACTGATGGTAGGCAGCAGCCATTATTCAGTGGTTTCAGCCCAGGACCGGGTCGTTACCCTGCGACAAAAGTTGGTCCATACCTTGGGCATGGTGCGACGTTTTCGGCTGCTGGCGGGATGCTGCGTGCTGTCCGGCAACATGACCTTGGAGGTTTATCCGGGGTGGAAGTGAAGGCAGCCTTAAAACATGAGTAATGTATGCCAAAGAGTAGGAATTCATTTTGGGCGCGAAAATGCAGCACATACAGTGACATACAGGTTGAATTCTTCAGGCCGATCTCACCACTCAGACTGTGATTGCAGGAGGCCGGTCTTTGTGATGGCTGCTCCCTTCAACTGGTCTGGTTACCGGAGGACGTCTTTGCCACAGCCTCCACGGACACCACTGCGGCCTTTTGGAGCTTGGAGACAGGCGCAGCTTCAAGCACCAAGCACCACAAAAATCCATAGGTCGTATAGGTGGAAGTGGGCAAAATGGCCAAAGAGTAGATGGGCTTGGGGAAGGGATCACAAATTTGATCCGTAAAAATGTTCTGAAAAAACATTTAGTGAAATCGAACATGTTCGCTCTGAACATTTCTGGTTGCTCTCATGGCAGGTGAACGTGTTCAGCTTTTTGAAGGCCCGTGTCGTGTATCCAACTTCAGTGAAAGCTGGTTAATTAATACTATTTTTCTCCATGACACCAGCAGCATCATCTGCAATAGTAGCATCAAACGGCAATAGTAGCATCAAACAGCCAGCAATCGCTGGTTATTTCTCAACTGCACTGGCTTCAATTTCTCTTGATCCGTTGCAACGGACGTTCGGAAAAATACCAGAAGACACACCTTAGTAAGGTCAGGTGTTTCCAAACTGTCCAAGCTGGACATTAGTGTAGCGTACCACCGAGGCCATGAAGATCAAGTGATGTGGCTGTGCTTCTCGCCAGATGGCCAACTACTGGCCTTGGGCCCCAGTGACAGCGGTTTTAGCGATCCGGTCCCTTGGATTCCCTTTTGGTGTCTGCAGGGTTTCAATGGCACCGGCATCCTGAGGCCACTGCCTCGACGGACCGCACGGCCAAAATTTGGTGTGCAGACAGTGGGGAATGTGACCTGGTCGCAGTTGCAGTGAGGCCAACGGGGAAGAATCAATGGAGAAAGATCTACTGGTAGGGAGAGTTGTCTAAGGCAAATGGCAGAATTTGGTGATTTATAGAACTTGCAGTCCTTGTCGAATTTTTGATAGTTGTGGGAATATCGGAGGCACTAGATGACATACCTATAAAACAGCGGGTTTATTGTTTGTTATGCAAGGTTGCCCCTGTACGCCCCGCATCAAAAGGAGACACGATCGATATCTCAGGGTCCGGAGTTGGGGCACTGCAGCCTGAGGTTTAGCAACCCTCCGTGGCCACAAGGGCCCTGTCTTCGCGGCTGGGAGACCTGGTGGATAATATGGATAGCGGACAGCATTGGAAAAGTTCAAGATATTGCTGCCCTTGGGGAGGATGTCATAGTTGCTCCAATTCTTGGCGGATTCTTGGCAGTTAGAGTGAGACCTATTGCTGGATCTTGTCTGTGCTTGGGAGGTCACGTTTTCCCCTGATGCTGAGTCGGTGGCCACCTGCTCACATGACGCGGGGGGATGGAGGGTTGGATGAGAGCCACTGCTTCGATCATGCTCCAAGTCTGAATTCGGGCCGGCCCGCAGATCCAACCATTGATCCAACCATTGATTCCACCCTTTCAGAACAAAATACCAGTGGAGATCAGTATGGATCAGGTAATATCAGGTATCTCGAGGAAAGCATTTCACCGATTAGCGATGATTCGGTCCAGCCCTGTGAGGACAAGCAGATCAAGGTCTGGGATACCAAAGGACGTTGTCTCAGCACCTTATCAGGGCCTCAGCCTTGGTCATCCAACAGGGAACATGATGAGAAAATGAAGAATGCGTGAAAATTTGATTCCTGGGTGATTAATTATGATAAATTGATAAATAAAGCAATCTATGTTTTGGGCACCCAACTTTGACACCGACTTATTTTCATTTGGACATTTGGAAGATATTGAGGATGGATGTATGCAGAGGATCGAAGTTGGAATCTAGACCTCTGGCAGATTCTGATGCGCAGTGTCAAAGAGATAAAGAAGATTGGTTGTGGAACTTTTGGCCATCCTCAATCGATGCCTTGTTTGAAAGATTTCCTGAGATTGTGGCCCCAGGCACAGCAAGCAGATTTTCTCAGTGGCATGGGCTGGCGATGGTGGGGGAGCCAAGTCCCAAAAATGGCACGTGAATGGTTCGCAAGTGCTTGACATCCCCAATCTGTCCCGGTTGTAGGTCGTACCTTGGCCTCATCTTCAGATGATGCGACCATCAGGCGGGGGTTTGGATCGGCATTCGAATGACCTTGGCAGGTCAAAATGACATGGAAAGTGGTAGTTGCCAGTTCCCTCAGGAGTACAGTTTTCTCTTTGGAACAGCATTATCCCGAAACTTTAAGGAAATTCACATCATTTGGAAGATTCCACTTCAGTCAGCACCTTTGCGGCCAACAGCTGCTGTGGTGATTTTGACTGTGACTGTCAATCCTAGAGTTGTATGCTGCTATGGTGGACAGTTGGTTGAGAGTCTTAGTCTTGGTTCAGCGCCGGGTTTGGGTCTCAACGAGCCAGGCTTTGGAACATTGCGACGCAGTCATGTGCGAAGGTGGCTGTACTGCAGCACCTGCAGAGTCTTTTGAGTCTTCCTTATGTGGTTTGGCAATGTAGATCTATGTACCAACATGAGACTACCACAGAATGGGCAAACTGAAACAAGGACGAACTATGTATATATATATATAAATAATACATAATTTGCAAGAGGTGCACGTGGTCTCACTTTATTCACCTTTATTCCATAGCAACAGCATTTATATAAATGGGCCGTTGGCTGCTGCATTTTCCATGACGGACCCATATTTCATTCGCGCAGCTTTCCAAGAAAAGTGAAGAACCTGGATGAAATGAGACCTGCTAGCCTGGCAGGTCATCTATGGGCACACTGGTGCCGCACTTCTGGCCTGTTTTTCCTCAAAGGGTGAGATTCGCAGGGGGTGAAAGCTCAGCCAGGTCTATTCGGTGTCCATCTCGGACGTCTCTCGCAACCTGGCTCCAGAGATTCCACCATGAAAGTTGGTGGAATATCCAACTGAATCAGTACTGATTCAGTACTGAAAGTTACTGAAAGTTACTGGTTACTCTTTCTCCGTCTTTCTCCGGTACTTGTGAAACTGTGTGATCTCTAAGGTAAGCTGGTGAGTGCCAGTGAGGACAAATGGGTGTTGTGAAGACATGTGCATTTCTCCTTCACTGTGACGGTGACATGGAAGCCAGCAACCAGCATTGAAGCCAGGACTGTACGGCCAAAACCTGGTGTACGGCGCTGAATTTCAGCAGGGTGCAAGCCAGAAGTTGTGAAGAAATCTGGATTGGGACCGGGATCTATTTGGATGAATATCTGATATTGAATAATGAATCTCATATGGGATTTATGGGATTTGTGGGATTTATGGGATTTATGGGATACGACAATAAATCGATAGTCGATCATGATATAATTATATACAATAGCTGACTGCAGCTCCGGAACAGACCAATTTTCCGTGCCAAGGTTTAGATTCAGGTGATGGTCACCCGGAGCGCAGCTTCGTCCATGAGGACTGTGCTGTTTGGGAGCGTTGGTGTTTTTTTTTCCTGGAGAGCTACAGAAAATATCCGACCAAGTCAGTTTGTTTGTTGTGGTAAGTTATTGATAGTTATTGTTTCTTGTTTCCAGTAGGATTTATCATGATTTATATCATGATTTATCTCTGCACAGTCTTAGACGGTAGCATTTTCGCAGAGTGCTGGTCGAGGAGTGGGTGAGACATGCCCAGTTTTCTCCCGATGCATCAAAGGTGCCTTACCATCCATGATGGCTGTTGGGAAAAGATTCATGGAGGACCTTTGATAACCAGGGGATTTAGTGTAAACTATCCAGGCCTATTTGGAACTGCTGGCAATTCTTGTTTTTCAAGTGAGATACTGATGTGATCTTTGCCATAGACTGTACTCAGTACCTATTCCAGCTTGCATTTTGTGCAAGGTTTCTTTTTTTTTGGGCAATCGGAACCATTTGAATTTTTGAGGATATAGACTACCGGTGGCTTGCTGCAGGTGATCACGTCAGTCAGCGACCATACCGCCATCTTGTGGGATGCACTGACTTGTGTGTTTGGTTGCCTGGTGGAGGGCTGTCCGGAAGAGCCGTGCAGCGGTGGGGTGATGTGGTTGTGGCACAAAATCATTGCCCTCCAATTAGATGGTTAAAAGTTCAACAATGTCAAACAATGTTTTCTTACAGGTAAAATGACCAATTTGGATGTCCCATAGTATCATAGCTTGAGCCTTGGAGGCCGCATCGTGCCACGTTTCCAGGTGGGGTCTGCCGCTGAGGTCCTTGATGGTCTTCCGAGGACACACTGATTGGATCAGAGCCTCGTTGAACGGGGCAGACCTCGCAATCCATGAACCAATGGTTGGGGTGGTGGTGGTGGATCACCCCTGGTGAGCTCAACACGTGGAGCCGCATTTGACGATGAAGATAGCATGCCAAAACAATGAATCATTCTTTGTTCACTAACCCCTTGTTGAGTTGTTCCTGAAGACTTGCCACGAGACAATGGATATGTATCCAGCTAAAAGGGAGTCACTCTACACAGAGAGGGCTGGAGACAAACAATGGATGCAACAGCATTAGGATGATCTGATCCGTTGTATGGATTCAGCCTCACACAAGCGAATCAGTGCACGACCATCATATCGAACGGTAACGCCAAACATGTAACACACACACATATACGGTATATACATATACACATTTATGTACATCATATTTTACATACAAGTAATATATATTATACACGATATTATACATAATATTGCATAATATTGCATAATATTACATAATATTACATAATATTACAGATACATAGCATACTCGTGTGTGAGTGTCAACACATTTTACACTCCTCACCTCCAACCGAATACATTTAGGACAGACAGACGGACGGACGGACCGAGGAAATGCCTCTTTTTCGTCAGATGGGCAATATGCACTGCACCCCAGATGACCTGGGTGAAATAGTTGCTGACAAAAGATGCACATTTCTCCTGGTTACCACAAACCTGATATTGGAGGTCAAAACGTATAACAACATGTTCTTTTTTTGACAGATGAACATCCATGAATTTTGATGTTTACCAGGGTGTGAGGGTTTTGATCCATAGCCACTGTTGGCAATAAGAGTGAGTTTCTCAGATTATGATACATTGACATATTAGTCGGATTCTAAGAAATACTGCTGTCCTGAGAAAACGAACATCCGACAAGTTTTCTTTGCCGATTTGGCTGAACTATTCTCATGCTTGGGGAACTTTGGATTTTCACAGACAACCAATGTTTTATCATATTGTTTATCATGTTTTCTCCATTTGTTTTCTGAAAACCGTGTTATTTCATCATTTTTCCACGGGGTTTGCAGCCAGCCGCAGCCCTCTGAGGTGGCCACTTCTTCGAAAGATGCCTGTGCAAAGGTCTGGAATTTGGATGGCCGGGATGCCCAAAGATGGGGACCCAAAAATGGGGGATGCAACTGATGCAGCCAGAAATACTTCTGCGTGGTGGGCGTGGTGGTTTTTTCACATGTTTAAACATGTTATAAACCATCGAAATGACTTCATGGGCTATGAGTGTATGAGTCAAAATGATTTGATTAGTTCCACTGAAAATGGAGGGTTTTTTTTTAGTCCCGAGAGTAGATGAATTTGGATCGATTTGGAGTGGACCTCATATTTGACCCCCCAAGGCAAGTGTCTCCGCAGTGTGACTGGTCACAACCAATGGGTGCGGGCCCCAGCGCATCCGAGGGGATGCATTGATGACTTTAATGAAAAAAAAAGACAAACAGTGGGTTTGACCAGGAATGGGATATACCTCCAAATGGCAAAGTTATGAGACACATTGTGAGGTAGACTTTTCTGAGGTGCGAGGAAAACTTCTCAAACGTGCAGTGAACATATTGCATATATTGCCTTGAATGCTAATAGGGTCCTCCAGCTCCGTATCAGCGTCACGGTCCCGTTTGGTATACCGCGGGGTGTCATTTCCAAAGGTTCGATGCGTAGCCTTTGCGTTGGGAGACCCAAGGGTGGGGCATCACCGAAGGTGGTGACTGGTTTGGGCGCCTTTTCTTGGAGAGGCGACACAAATTGAAAGAAAGTGGCAGCAAATATCAGATATTCCAAAGTATTCACTGTTGGTTCTTTCTAGGCCAGTATGTGACTGCAGCTGCACAGGTCTGGATCAGGTTTCAGGGCATGACATTGTTGCATATTCACCCCCCAGCTCTATTCTGACTCAATTTTGATTCAGCTGCAGCATCAAACACCTTCCAGATTCGAATGCTAAAGCGAAGCAAGATCATAGAACTGCCCCCAATTCAAGCTGGATGGTCCGTTGTGCTCATTCCTTTCTGTGCCCTTGGTTCTTTGATGCTTCGCCGAGGCCTAGTGGCCCACTGTCGGATGGCCGGGTGCATCCAATTGACATTTGCAATGAGGCCGCGTGAACCGGTCGCTCCGTGAGGCCGCGTTTTGCGTGAAGTTCATCCTACCAAATTTGAGCAGGTTTGTAGCTGCTATTAGTTGTAACACGGGTCCCGCCTCCGGGCCCCACTCCAAGCCTTGCAGAAGTCAGGGGCAACAGGAGAAAACTAGCCGGGACCATTTGGATATCAACCGAGCTGAAGGAACCTGACTCAATCCTGCAGAGCATTATCTCAGAAAATGCCATACATATATATATATACATATGTATACTCTGATGCCATTCAACTCTTCAGCGCAGCTTAAACTTCCTTGCAGCATCCCACTAGGGATTTTGTCTTCCATCTTCTCTGAGGATGCTTGATCCCAACAATCCACCCGCTTTGGCTTACAGTAACAGTACTTATACCTCATAGTCTCATAGATCATTAACTTATTCATATATATATATATAACCAGTTTTTTTTACATTGGGATCCTTTCTCATCGATGATGTGACGAAGTGCTGCTCTCTGAGAGGTTTCTGTCTTGGCACGAAGAAGTGCAACAAGGATGTGAACATGCGCCCATTTGGCTCTCATCGGAGCCCATTTGGCTCATGGGAGTTGACTGTCTTTCCGGAGTAGACCAGTGCGTTGGTACACTTTGTGGACAGGTTGCTTCTTTACAGCCTTCCCAAGGTGACATGAAGCACGTTCTAGAAACTGTTAGATAAATGGATGTAGACTTTGTGCATAGTCACACTTCGCATTATTCTTTAGAACAAAACCTCTACATAGTTTCTCTGGTAAGAAGTCTGAGTCGTTCCCTTTTCTCTGATTCTTCGGGCCCAGTGACTCAAGCCCACAGCTGGATAAGTCATGTTTCCCCTAACAAATCACTGTCGCAGCCCATATCGAAGCTTGATCGAGATGGCACTCAGCTGAAATCAGCAGAATGTGAAGTGCTTTTGTGCTACATCAGTCACAACTCCCTTAGGTGCCAGAGGCTTTTGAACGAAGGACTCCTGCAGGTTTATGGCAGATGATATCTCTTACAGCGATAATTTGTTGAAGCTTGCTGTTCTGAAACCCATTTCATTGCTGGGGCCCCGACATCCTCACATACAGCAGTCCGTCAACAGCAAAAACTTATCAATGCCTTTAAGACGTGATTCACGCTCATTGTGTATCCTCTTTACTCTTCGACAATTGGTGACTTGTAGACTGGGCTGTGTATTCAAAGCAGTGAACGTCCGCATATCAGCTGACGATGAATTGTAATCTTGTTGCAAAATGTATTTTGTCACAACAGACACCGGCAGGAGTCCTATTGTGACATTGTGCATGAATACTCAATCCGAAGTAACGCGGAATGGAGCTGGCAAACACAGCTGATACTTGTAACAGCAGCTGAGTTTGACAAGTTGCATTCTCGCTTGGTATGTCCTTACTTTGTAGCTTATAGAGCTGACAAGTGCAAACCAATGTTCCTTTCTTTTCTGATACATCGATACAAAGCAGTTACAGTAAGCATTTTCCAGTTTGCCTCTCTGAATTCTCCGCATTTGGAGGGGACTTGAGCAAATGGCCGGACCCCTCTATAATTCTAGACGAAGTAGAAGAAGCGATGTCTTGACCATGTCTTGACTCGGATGACCTGTGGTCCAAACCCAGGCGGTTCACCCACAGAAGTAATGAAAGGCGAGTACATTAGTACCCCCCATTCAACAGCATTCAACAGCCTAGGGATTTTTGAGTTGTTTCATTTCATCTTCTTTCTTCCAATCAGAATGCGAGCTGGAGAGTAAGGCTTGCCAAACTTGTGACGTCTTCCTGCTGGAGGAAACGTCAAAGAAGTAGTCCCGCTTTCAGATAGACATAGATGTATAACACACATTATATATATATATTACATGCATGATCGAAGGAAGTTTAGAATCCAAACTTCCGACAATATGAACAGATGGAAAAGCAGAGGTGGGAAGAGTCAGAGAAGAGACGAGAAGAAGAAAGAAGATCAGAGAAGAGAAACAGTCAGAGGAAAGAAGATGCAGGTGCGCGAAAAGGTATAAAAGTCGCGATTCACTGTATGTTTCCAATGATTTGTGGCTCTGGAGGGTCGAAAAGCAGGCTCGCTAAAGCGGCGGGTGCGGAGCCATCTGGCCAGATGAGAGATGAACAATTGCAGCCGGTTGTGGCGCGAAGCACATTTCCAAGTCAAAATGTGCAAAGCACACCAACGTGGGACCACTTTTCGAGGTTGAGATGTCCAAAAAGGGCACGCCGTTGTGGCGCGAAGCACATTTGGAAGGCAAAAGTGTTATAACTGACGGATTCGGAGCACTCTTGGAAGTTGAGATGTTGAAAAGGTGCATGCCGTTGTGGCGCGAAGCACATTTCGAAGTCAGAATGCTAAAAAAACGACATGTTTGCGCCACTTTTGGACGTTGAAGCTTCGTTTTGTGTGGCAGGCGCAAGGGATTCCGCACCTTGCCCAAAGTGAGCAAACGAGAGGATTTGCTAGCATTTCCAAAAAACGATGCTAGGCGTGAGACATTTGAAAGAGGATGTGCGAAGATGAATTTCGCGTGGCAGGCGCAGTACAAGAGACATGTTCATCAGAGATGTTAGGAGAGGGGTTGCATTTTGGAGCATCAAATCTTTAGGTTTGCTAAGATGATTTTGCGTGACAGGTGCAGCACGTCGTATGACCTGGCATCACTTTTTCATGGTAGGCGCAATATTTTCAAGACATGGGCTGATGTTTCGTTTTTGATGTTGCCAACTTGGAAAATGGAGGAAGTCTCGCAGAGTTGCTTCGTTTTTGGCATGACCACGTTCAAAACTCGAGGAAGTCTCGCAGAATAGCTTTGTTTTCAAGCTTGCAGATAGACTGCAACAATTGCAACAACTACTACTTCTACACTACAACTGCAGCTGCAGCTACGACTGCAACTACAACTACAATTACAACTACAATTACAACCTCAACTGCGCAACACTGCACTGCAGCTACAGCTACAACTACAACCACACTACAACTGCAACTACCACTACACTACACCACACTTGACTATATACAACTACAACTACCACTACCAGTACCACTCCAGTAAACTACACCACAACTACAGCTACAGCTACAAATACCACTACATTACAACTACAACTTCAGCTACATTACGGTAATAACAACCATTTCCGCTACAGTGCGCTACAGCTACAACTACAGCTACGACTACACTACACTACAACTAGAGCTACAGCTACAACTCCTACAACTATTTCAATTATTACAACTACATTTTCAACTACATTTTCAACTGCACTTCAACTACATTTCAACAACAACAGCAACAACAACAACAACAACTACCGCTATTACCACTACTACCACTACTACCACTACTACCACTACTAACACTACTACCGCTACTACCACTACTACCACAACTACCACAACTACCACAACTACCACTATAACTACAACATTGCAACTTCAACAACATCAACTGCACTACAACTACAGCTACACTACAACTACAACTACAACTGCAACTGCAAGTGCGATTACATTACACTTCGCTACACCACACACTACATCCTGCAGTTGTGGGTGAGGTGACCACTTCCAAAAGGAGGGCTAATTATTTTAGGATTTTTTTTGGATCAGGTTTAGGAATTATTTTTGGATTCCTGCTTCTCTGCTTTTCCTGCTTTTCCTGCTTCTCTGCTTTCCTGCTTTTCCTACTTTTCCTGCTTTTCCTGCTTTTCCTGCTTCTCTGCTTTTCTGCTTTTTTGCTTTTCTGCTTCTCCTGCTTCTCGCCTTTTCTGCTTTTTTGCTTTTCTGCTTCTCCTGCTTCTCTGCTTCTCTGCTTTTCTGCTTTTTTGCTTTTCTGTTTTTCCTGTTTCTTTGCTTCTCTGCTTTTCCTGCTTTTCCTGCTTCTCTGCTTTTCTGCTTTTCCTTCTTCTTTGCCTTTCTGCTGCTTTGCTTTTGTGCGTTTCCTGTTTCTTTGCTTCTCTGCTTTTTTGCTTCTCTGCTTTTTTTTGCTTTGCCTGCTTTAAATACTTGATTTTCATGTAAGATGCATTTTGCACAGTATTTACATCCCTGAGTATCACATGACCAACCTTCTCTTGAAAACTAGCAAATGTGAGAAGAGGTGCTTGCATTCTGCTTTGGGGGGAGGCGCTGCGCCCTCCCCCCAATCCCCCCCTCCCGTTTTTTTTTTAATTTAAACTTAAACCCAAGTTACACTAGTTGGTTTTTGCGAACTAACCTTCTCTGGAAAGCTGACAGGATTACATGTGATAGATAGATAGATAGATAGCTGGATAGATAGATAGCCTTAGATTTTAAGATAGAGAGACTCGATCGATACTATAATAGCTAGATAGATAGAGTAGATAATAGATAGATAGAAATCGTATATAGATAGATAGATAGATAGCTAGATAGTAGATAGTTAGTAGATAGTTGCTAGATAGATAGATAGCTAGATAGATAGCTCGATAGCTAGATAGCTGGATAGACAGCTGGATGGCTAGATAGATAGATAGATAGCTAGATACCTCGATAGATAGATGGCTAGATAGATAGCTAGATAGATAGATGGCTAGATAGATAGCTAGATAGATAGCTAGATAGATAGATGGCTAGATAGATAGCTAGATAGATAGATAGCTAGCTAGATAGATAAAGAGGTAGCTAGATAGATAGCTAGATAGATAGATAGCTAAATAGATAGGTAGATAGTTAGCTAGATAGATAGATAGATAGCTAGATATATAGCTCGATAGCTAGATAGCTGGATAGACAGCTGGATGGCTAGATAGATAGATAGCTAGATAGATAGAAAGCTAGATAGCTAGATAGCTAGTTAGCTAGATAGCTCGATAGCTAGATAGCTGGATAGACAGCTGGATGGCTAGATAGATAGATAGATAGCTAGATAGATAGAAAGCTAGATAGCTAGATAGCTAGATAGTTAGCTAGATAGCTAGATAGGTAGATAGATAGCTAGCAAGATAGCTAGATAGGTAGGTAGATAGCTAGATAGATAGATAGCTTGCTAGATAGATAGCTAGCTTGCTAGATAGATAGCTAGCTAGATAGCTGGTTAGCTGGATAGATAGCTAGCGCCCTCCCTCAATCCCCCCCACCCGCTTTTTATCTAATCCCAAGCTTCCGCGTCTGTAAATATTTGGGTGAACATGCTCACATGTAGAACATCCCATGCAAAATGGAAGGTGAACATGCCAAAATGTGGCAATTCCATACAAAATGGAAGGTGAACATGCCCACATGTAGGAAATCCCATGCAAAATGGAAGGTGAACATGCCAAAATGTGGCAAATACCATACAAAATGGAAGGTGAACATGCCCACACGTAGTAAATCCCATGCAAAATGGAAGGTGAACATGCCCAAATGTGGCAAATACCATGCAAAATGACAAATTCAAGTTCCAAACCGTTGCAAACACTAGGCAAATGGTACCAGCCAAGAAATCCAAAAAAAATTCCCAAACCTGCTCAAAAAAAAATTCCTAAAACTATTTCACACCCCTTCCAAAAATCACAACCACCTTCGGTCCACCAGTGGAGTCGATCTGCCATCCATGATGCACAACAACAAACCTCTCCTATAGGTTTCTTATTTTTGAATCTTCCGCCACCGCCCTGTGCGACACTACCGGTATATGTAGGTGATCGATATGTACTGAGTTTATCTGATAGCAGAGATCATATCAAGACGTTGCTTCAAGTGCTTCGATCTTGTGGACCGCCCGCAAACCATCAGAAAAAATGCCACACGTGGATGGGCTGTGAGGGTCTGAACCATGGCAAAAGTGGTACCCCACGTCAATCATACGTCGAGGATTAGCTTGCACCTTAATTGCGCCCACGGTTTTTTAGAGATTGCATGCAGTGGCATGCAGGCTTACATCTGATGAATGCAGCTGAGTGCTCTTGCAATGAAGTATTCCCTTCTGAATATCCGAGTGGAGAGTTTATCGGACACTTTGATCCTTTCATGAGAAGAACTTGATATGATTTCGGAGCAAGATCAAGCTGGTGAAGACCAGAAATCCATGGCAGCAGTCTTCGGATCCCAAGACTTGGAAAAGACTTGGGGAATCCGATGCTATCCACACTCCCACGCTCCCGAAGTTTTAAGGTATCTTTCAATATCAGGATTATCATGGAACAATGGACCTGTGCTTTGTATCTTGTGGGAGTCTTCCATGGGGTTGGCCCCTCCTGAGCCATGCCGGAGCCGCAAGAGAAGTGGAGCGCAGATGCTTGGGCAATCATTAGTCAGCTGCATTCCATGAGTGAACTTTATCCACTTTGACCCGCTTTGATCCACTTTGGGCTTGTCGTGATGTCAGCTTTATCCCATCTGTGGCCTCAGCACTGAGGACCTATGCGGGGGCCGATTGCAGACCTTCCTTTGGGAGCATCACAAAGACTTGGGTGAGCGGCTCGTGCGCGTTTGGACCCCACCTGGATGGGAAGCAGGACAAGCGGCCCCTTGCCCAGAGAGGGAAAGGGCTGAAAGGCTTGGGCAGCGGTTTGCAAACTACAATTGCCTACCATTTGGGGCGATGTTTTCGATGTTTAGGTATGTTTGGGATATGTTTGCTGTATATTTCTTGGAAAGACGGTAGTTAAGGTCAGGTTACGGAAGGCAGTTTCGTTTCGTACTTGGGTGGAGGCCTGCGTGGGTGTATAGAGAGTATCGCAAGCAAGAATGCAACATGCTGCGTTAAAGATTTTGTTCTGACTATCATCAATCTCGCGCCAACAAGACAGTGACCATTGTAGAGGTGATGGTTACTGCAGCAAAAGAAACGTTGTTTGCTTCGTAAGTGATTGGTTGTTTTGTTGCTTTGCTTGTTCCTCTGTAGCTTCGTTTTGCAGCTGGCCGCTGGTAGCCCCTCCAAATCGCCAAGGTCAAAGCCCTTTGGCTCAATGATGGCCTGGCTGCCAAGGACGTCAAGCGGCACGTCAAACTGCACGTCATTGGTTGACCTCGAAACATGTTTAATTCGAAACATCAGGAGAAAACAAAGCCAGGTGTCAAGTCAGAGAACCTTTCTGGGCTGTTCAGAATGTATCAATTTGTGGATACAATGGGCAGCTTTATGATCAGTTCCTCTTGGGACGACATGAATTGTACTGCGGCGAGAGTGCATGTAGGAGTTGATAGCGACAGAACAACTCCTGAGGTCAAAACCTGTTTCGAGATGAGGACCACTGGGTGTTTGTCGCTGTGCTTCGTGCTTCTCCAAGTTGAGTGTCTTGTAAGTATTTTCTGGGGGAAGAATTCACACATTTATGATTTATGAGCCATAGCTACGCAGTTGAAGGTCACAAATGTATCCCAGTTATTCTAAGTTGGTATGAGCCATACCGAATCCTTTCTGAACCCGCTGATGCCCGCTGCTGGCGGAGGATGCCTTTGGCGGCGCATGTTGGGGTGTGGCGGGGACAGTGGCACATTTGATTGCTGCAAGGAGCATCCCACCGAAGCTTGGTTCTTTTGTCACACGTGGCTGACATGGTCAGCTGGGGCAGAAGCGTTGTCATACAAATTCTGATTGAATTTGATAACTTTTGAGAACAGATGAACAAATTAACTCAATGTTTGTGATGGGGATCAAAGCCTTCGGCCTAGGATTGTTGTGCTGGGGATCGACCACACTGGGAGGATGAGGAGGATGATGTTTTTTCGTGCCACATGCACCTGGTGGCAGTGCGGATGAAACGTTGCAGCTGAAGGCATCGTTTTTTTCGTCAACCGGATTTTGTAATTCATCAGACTTCCACGGATTTTCATGATTTTTCTTGGATTGCGGATGTTTTCAACACATGTTTTCATGTCAGCTTTCAAGTCAGAAACCGACTGGACGACTGGACGACGGAAGGACCCACGACTACCTCTCCGCGCCGCCCACTGGGTGGGATGCCCCCTGGGGAAAAGGAATGCGCGGAGATATGTGGGATGCACCTGGAGGAGGCACGTCCGCTGCGGGATGCGATGAAGATTGCATTTATATACGATACGTGTATCACACAGACATATATATATATATGTAAATACACAGCATATATATATAGATACAAACAGCAGGAATGGATTGACTCTTAGGATGGGATCAAACTTGCGGCCTTTGGAAGAAGAACATCAAAGCTTCTGCATTTGGATGAACCTGGGAAAGTTTTGCAACAGAACATGGGGAGTCTAAAACTCTCTGGGGGGAAAATCAATCGAGCCAAATCGGCGGTTTGGGGCTTCCACTTTTGATCCAGGGATCATGTCCCGCACCCTATGCCGCAGCGATTTTGGCTTCCAGCATTGACCGTGCCACAGCATCTGACACTCCTCGTGCGCCACGATGTTTCGCCTGGCCCTCTCTTTGTTGCTCGGACCTGAACTTCTGGGGTATACAAAATTCTCGAGCGCTGCAATTTTGGAGGGAGAGAAAGTTTGGAACACCTATGGCTCATTGTCTTTGGTCGGATATAAAACTGTATTCAGTGGTGAAGGTCTATCTACCTAGCTATCTACCTATCAATAAGTCCACCTGACTGCATTCAAGATATATGATATATCTTTATCCATTATTATCGACTATCTACTGCGCTGCTAATACACACATATTTATAATTATATCACATCCAGCAGTGGCTTTCCCAGACAAACCGTTGCTGAGGTTCTTCCCAGTGGCTTCGGCTGAGAAGTGGGCGGTCATCGCTGCAGGATCCTCCGGCTTCTGGAACTACCGACACCAGGCGGAGATGATGGGCTGCATAGCAATTGTAAGTGACTAATCACCATATGAGGCATTAAACACACCCCTATCCCATCTCATAAAAAAAACAGAAAGGGGTGTTGTGAGCGCCAAAAAACAGCAAACCATCCTTATAATATAGGTTGTTTTTTCAATATATGGTGTTTTTTTAATCTATGGATGGTTCATGTTTTTTGGTGCTCACAACAGCCTTTGTAAGTAGACCCACGACCATCTTTGTAAGTAGAACCCAAACCACTAATGTCTGCTAACCCTTCTGTAAGTAGGACACTGTCTGTTGTCTGCTGTTCAACCCCAAAAAACCAAAAAAAACAAAAAAAACAAAACAAAAATAAATCAAAAAACCAAAAAAAACAATGTTTCCACAACTAGTCTGATGTCTGGACTAGTTGCCAAATCTTTGTTTTTTTTGTTTTTTATTGTTTTTTTTGGTTCTAGGATTAATCTGGATTAATCCAAATTAATCCTAAACAATACACTGTGCAATGAATATATTATTTAAATTCGTCATATTCTTCTGGCTCTGTCTGCATATGAAATCCATCTGTAAGCATTGGCTCTAACAATATTTCTTGTGCTATCCTTCTGCGCCATGTCGACTGTCTTCGTCAGTTGTTCGGGACTGAACCGTCTTGATTCGTGTCTGTCTAAAGTTTCAAAATCATTATTTTATACTTTTTGAGCCTTGAATCCCTTCTTCTAAGGTCTGCGAGGCTTTGAAAAGCTTGACGTGTTCATTTTGAAAACAATGATACTTTGAAATTTTCATTCAAATCTTCTCAAAATGATCAACATATGTTTAAAAATGTTCTGGATACATGCAGAGAATGTCAAATCAATTTGTCTGGAGTTGCATGTTGCAGTCAGACAGTTTGATCCAAAACAGAGCCTTATTATGTATGCAGTACTCTTTTGAAAGAGTATAGTGTCCCTTTATCAATGTGTGGTATATGTTATGGAATGTCCCCTTCAACATGAAACAACCTTCCATTGCAAGGAGCGCAATACTTATTGAAAAAATAAACCCTTTAACAGCAGGGTGCCCTGTGGCATTCTTTGAGAAAGTTGTGGCATACCTGCATGCAAGATTTTCCTACAAAAGGGGCCACATTCCTCTGAGAAAGTTTTTCATGATTTTGAAACATAACCCTGAGATGTGCACAGCATTCCTTTAGAAAGAGGGTGTCATGTCTTCCATGTATCTTTGACAAATGTAGCATTCCTTTCATTTAGGTAGAGACATGCAACACAGAAGCAAACACCACCCTGTCGTTGAGCATGGCGCAACCGGTCAAAATTGAAGTTCATTTATCTCTAGCAGCATTTGGCTCAATACCAATGTGTCAAGCAAAAAATAATTCTTATGATATCATATATCTACAAAATCAGCTGTTTTGACAGGTTTACTTTCAAGTTTTGCAACTTATTGAAAAAGGTTGAAGCTCTTCAAAACATACATCACATGTTTCCAGGAACCCAGCAGCACTCTTCCAAAACAAAATGTATGGACAGATGCAATATTCATTTTAATGCAGTTTAGCCATCCCCCTAGGTTTTTCTGTATGATATTTTGTAAATATAGGAATAGCTATATTTCATCAAAAACAATATATATATATAGACTTGCCTTGTAGCAAGATATTCCTTTGAATAAGAAGAAACATTCATACAAAGAATGTTATCTGCGGCACTATGCAATGTATCAATTTTTGAAATTCCGTTGACATCTCATTTTCCCACCCCACAACAATTTGTCTAAAAATGTTTAATATGAATACCCCTGTACATACTGTATTAATTCATCTACCTACGTTATGTTATGGCTCAAGAAAACAAGCGCGTATTGCTGTTCGTTTGTGGCGTGTTAGCCTGTAAAACAGGTTATCAGCCGTAAGCTAACTTCTCTTTCGTAGGCATGTCTGCCCCCTCAGGTACTTCCCCTGAGGGCCCCGGTGTTCCCGTTTCCTCTGACGCTGCCATGGCCAATCCGGGAGCCTTGCCTATTTCAGACACCACATTCTCCATTGACATAAGCACACCCACTGGTTCCGACAAATCGCGTAGTTTGAGGGACAGACGCCACTTGCCGCATCTGAGTAACGCAATTGTGCCTTCTCATGCCGGTTTTAACCATCGTGGATATGTTCCCCAAGCCGCTCGGGAGAGTGGGCCGCCGACTCGCCAATTGAACCAAATGAATGTTCACAACACATTTCACCACAATGTGCATATGGATAATCCTCAAGTGAATTTTGTCGAGCAGAATATGCATGTCCATTCACATGATCCTGCCATGACAAGCCTTGTGGAAACAGCGGCCGAGCTCCGTCATCGTGAGGTGTTGGCTCACACCGAAGCTCAGGCTGAAGCGATCCACACGGCCAAGACTGAGGAGTTGAAGGAAGCTTTGCGAGTCCGCGAGGGTATTGAAAGTCAGAGGGCCCTTGATGCTATCAGAATCAAAGAACAAGAACTTTTGAATGTGAGTGCTCAATATAAAGAGAATTTACAGCATGAGGCGCACGAACACGTAAGGTTCCGTGAAGCTCAGATGAATGAGAAAATTCAAGCCTATCAACGTGTTATTGATGCTAACCATCGACAATCACTATCAAGTAAGGAGCAAGAAATCCTTGAGTTGAAGAGAGCAGCTGAGGAAGAGAGAAGGATTCAGAATGAGCGCATCACACAGCTTGAACACATGGTACAAGCCCAGATGCAACATAATCTGAAACTGCAAAGTATGCTCGATTCCCACTTTGCTCAGGTTCGTCCAAGCCCTATTGTCGAAACTGCCGCCATGACCATGACAGCCGGAACCCATGAATCAACGCAGATCCCAAATTTCGAGTTTGTTCCACCAACCCGAAAGGCTGCACCCGCAGCACCTCCGACCAATGTAGCCCGACCTCCAATTGCAAGAACGCCGATCAACTTTACTTCACCTGATGCCAAGACTTATGAAAAGGATGGTATTGAAATCATTTATCACGACCCATCATATCGAGTCCCAGTTCAAGTGAAGAAGGAGTCGGATGTTGCAAGGTCTTCCGCTGAGGAACGCCCTTCGGGAGGAGAGGCCAACAATCGTCGCCGAGATAACCATCCCATGGACAATATCAATTCCCCAGCACCGACTAATCAATATGCCCCGACCGCAATAGCCCCAGATGAGATGGACTACTTCGAGCCCGGGGGCGATGACGCGCCTGATGGGGACGACCCCGGGGATGGAGGAGACGACAACGGGGGAAATGGAGGAGGTGGACCACCATCACCACCTGATCCAATTGATAAACCTGAAGGGGATAGGAACCGTAAGGCGCCCAGAAAAGGAAAAGCTGGTCCCAATCCTCCCGATGGCGATGGTGACGGTGATGATGATCCCGATGATGAGGATGATGAAAAGTTCAGGCGAAGAATGATCAAGTTTTTAGGTGGCTACATTGACCCAAGGCATGATGACAAACCAAAGGTCAAGGAAGCCGACACCATAAAGATCCCGGCTTTCCCATTGGCAGAAACCTATCGCAATTGGAGAATCAAAACTAGAGAAGCAGTTGTAGCAGCATCCACCGATCCCGACAGTGCTTTCAAGTGGATTAGTGATTCTTGGAAAGAAGAACAGACCCTTGAAGCGCTCCGGAAGGTTGCGCCGTTTGCGACATTAGATGCAAAGTTACTTTCTGCACTCACCAATATCATTACTGGTGACTTCGCCCGCAAGGTAGACACCTTCAAGGAGACTGAAGCCACCGCTGGACGGATTGTAAGAGGGAGACAAGTGTTGTTCATGTTGCATGACCACTTCAGTACAAACATCAAGCACGGAGCAACCTATGCCCTCCAGGATTTGTTCAGTGTCCAATTGCGTGGGGAGAATTTGAAGTCTTTCATTTCGAACTGGGATCAAGTGTTGGCTGGTATTGTCCAAGCTCCTGACGAAAGTGTATTGGAAACACTCTTCTACAAACAGGTGAAGAATTGTAAGGCCATCCAACATGACATGAATGAGTATCATAGAGCTGATGAAGGAACCGAAAAACGGAACTACAGTTTTCTTGTTTCTGCCGTGCGACGCCACCTTGACCGTGAGAGGTTGGAGGCAAATCGTGATCGAGTTGCCAAAGGTCTTTCGGGTGCCGGTCGTCCCTCCGCTCCTGCAGTCGAGGGCAAGACAGGTTTTATTCCCAAGGGGTATTGTGT